ACATTGAGATGTAATCCATACTGAAGGCTGTGGTCTTTGTCTTCATCAGAAAATGTTTTAAGTCCTCTTCACTTTCAGCAAGCAAGGTTGTATCAATTCTGATCCAAAAATCCCAACATTATCACAGCATACTTGGGTCTGGTCTATGTGTAAAATTGTGGGTAGCAGAAAATTAATGGAGTAAGTCTCTAAAGAGTTTGGCAAATTATTTGTAAAATCTAACCTCTGTCTTCTATGATTAGACTGTGGAAACCCTTGCTCCTACATTTTCATTCCTAAATCAAATCTCTTCTCTGGGCAAACATAGCTGAATTACTATAAAAGTATACACAGATGTTTCTAATCCAGGGCTTAAAGCCAACTTATTCTTCAGCTTAACCCAGCCTCCGTCATCTCTGCCTTTTGCCCTACAGGTTGGAGCAATTTAGATCTCAGTTAAAGAACTACTACTTCCTTAGATTTGGCCAACACTTTCTCACTGCTATCCCTAGATGAGGCCACTGGGAGATACTGGGTAATCCAGGAGGGTCAGAAACAAACCTTGACATAATTATTAAAAAGTACACAGGGGAGCTGGAGCCCAGTAGTAAGAACAGCACCCATCCAAGACGGGCTGCCAAGGACAGAGTAGCCAGGGCTCAGAAAATGTGTGCTGTATCTTCTGCTTTAAAGAAGGAGCTTCACAAGTCCTTCCCAGATCAGCAAAGATTGTGCTGCCCTGTACATCTGCATGCCACCACCTTTTCAGACTATTTAAGCAACACAGTTACTGCATGGGCTCCAAATAATTGTCATATTACCTTCAAACACTATCTCCCTATGATGCCTCCTAAGAAGCTTAAATGCGAGCACCATTGTGCTTAATTTCACTATTCACTTTCTGTTGCTGACAAGGAAGTCTAAGGAAAGTGAGGCTGATTTGAATACTCCAGGAAAGAGCAGCCTAAAATTGGAAATCTACCTTTATCAAACTCTTGAATTCTTACACAACAGCTTCAGGTACGTTACAGCTCAGGGATCTTGTAATCTTTTTCCCTTTTCTCTAACCCTGCATGTTATTTTCTCCATCGCTATTGTTGTTCAGTACAGTGGAGTCGGTTCCAATTCATAGTGATCTTGTACAGAGTTTCTGAGGTTTTAAATCTTGGGAGCAGAGAGCCTCATCTTTCTCCCGTGGAGCGACTGGTGGGCTCGAACTTCAGACCCTGGGGTTCCCAGCCAGTGCTGATAGTATGGAATCACCATGCTCTACATTTTCTCCATATGGAAATGCAAATTTGGATAACTTCTTTATAACAATAGTTGGTTGGATTCTCAACTATACAATATAGCCTCCCACATCAGTTATATGTGTTTCATTTATAAACATGCAAATTAAAATATATAATAAAAATATTTTACTTATAGGGAGATGTTAGCTGTTGTTCAACAAAAATCACAAAGGCCAGGAATAAATTTTAGAAT